AGATGTATTTCGATGCTTAACCTGAGTAAACAAAGCAAGGAAAACAGTGATAAAATAAACAACAAGCTTTATCAATTAAGGTCCCAAGATACAAGTAACTACAGGCAAAGTGACGGTAAAATTGACCAGGAACATCATGTCTACACGGGCGACCTCGCGAGTGGTATGGCCAGGGTTCCCACGCGTGTGAAGGGGCAGTGAGTCTTGGTGATCACTCTCCATCGTGAGGCGTCTGAGGTCAAGACCACCTGCCCAGTGTCACGGTGGTGTTAGGCTGGAGGGTTGTTGGGTCACGGAGAGGAGCGGTGATGGAAACCAAAACGGGGAGGGAGAGGTGGTGATTAATGGACGAGAAGACGGTGGAGAGGAGAGAGAAAAGAGAGTAGCACACATGGAGGCAAAAGAAAGGAAACACGAGGAAATAGGATGAGAGGAGATGGAAAGGATATGTGAAAATGAGAGGAAGAAAGGTAACGGCTGGGTAGGACCTGGGCTGAATAAGCGTTGGGTGGGCACTGGGCAGGTATATCACCCACCAATGTGTGTATAACGAGGCGCTACACTTACACCACATATCATAGGGGAGAGGCTAGTGTCGGCGTCACAACCCAGAGCCGAGGTTTTAAAGGTTGAGATATGAGAGCTTCGGGGGATGAATTGTGAGCAGCGGAGTGTAAACCGAAAAATAAGCTGGAACTCTGACGCTGAAGACCAAACACGCCCATCTACCTCCCTCACCACCTGTAGCCGTGTGAGAGGTGGAAGGCTGAGAGGATGTAAAGGCAGTTTGACCGTATAGCACAGGTCGCCATCCACCACCCCCACTCATCTCACGCACGACTTTTTTTAACAAGATAATCCATTACATAAAAAAAAGTATAAATCCCCCTTCACAATATATCTATTACGATCTTAAAACACATTTTCTTGGGCAATATTTATATGTGTGTGTGTGCAAAAGATCCCTGACAATTTACGATATTCAGTACGTGTTCAGTATCAAGTTTACCTGACGCAGAGGATTAAGTTAGAAAGCAATTTGTCTTCCATATGTGGCTTGATGTCTTGGTTAAGCGAGGTTAAGTTTCTCCTCTTTATGTCGCCTTCATCTCCTGGTGTGGGTGGAGGGGGGGAGGAGGGGGGGGGGGAACATCTGGCTGGCCATCACATCTCGACACCTTCAGGGCTATATGAAGATACCCTCACTATCTCTCCTTTCCTGCCACTTTTCCTCCTCCTATTCTCTCTCTCCGTCTCTCGTCCCAGATTACCTAACACTTTAGATCCATTTTCACGCTTTTTTTTCAAATTTCCGTCGTCTTCTTTCAATCTAATCTTTCTATTTATATCCACCCCTTTCGCCCCCTTAACTTCCTTCCTTTTCTTATCTTTCTCTTAGTTCCTCCCCTCCTGCCCCGCCTCCACACAGACCACCAGTCACCACCTGCTTCAACAGTGTACACCCAACCATGACTCTAGCCTTGACAGTCCCCAAGCTGAGAGTGAGAGCTGTGTATCATAGTTCTAACCTGGTCCAGAGTTTCCCCATAAAGTACAAAACCAAGTGTAATTTTACGTACTTTACCTTTAGCTTTAAATGAGGAAACGTTAACGAAAACCTCTTTAGTCATTAATAACTTACGTAACTTAACTGAATTAAGGACCATAGGAGGTATATGATGAACCTCTGAATTATGGTGAAGAACTAACTCGTCCATGAGAAAGTTTGGCAGGAAAAAAATACTCGCAGGAGAACCTCGATTAAGATGCCTTGTGATTGGCCGAGAGACCCAGCTGCGTCATCATTGGATTCTACATCTCGTTTGCGGATAGGTTCTCTCGTACCAATACAAAGCCACAAGGCATGGGGAAAAATCGGCCACAAACGTGCGTAATGAAATCGTGACGCACGGCTCTGAACACCATAGGAGGGCTCAGGCTAAGGCTATATAAATTACTATATGGTGTAAGAGAACCTAGCCGCCTGACACGATTATCCCCAACTGACTGACTTTCTGTGACTGACTGACCAAGAGATGACTGTATTAAACTGCCTTGGGTCATTGCCACCTCCGTCACCAAGAAAACCACCACCATCACCTCCCTCCTAACAAATGCCAAGTGAACGTATCCAGCTAAGAGTCTTTGAACATAAAGTTACATCTCCAGCCACGAGAAATATTCACCATACGAGTTTCTGTGAATCTGTGACCAAATATAAGCATCGGAGACCTTCGCTTGTCCCCTAACTGAGGAAATTAATGCAGGTTATGAAGGTTCAGACCAAGTATAGCTGCCTCTTACCTTAGTGGAGTCAAAGTATTGTTTTCTTGAGCTGCTGAGTACTATGCTTAATATCGGTGCTGTATATTGAATTAGCCCAGTGAGTAAGATATCTTTAAACCCTTGAGTACGATGCCAACCAACTTGAGTACACAATTTTAGAGCATTGAGTAAGATGTCTTGAACCCTTGATTACGATGCCAACCAACTTGAGTACACAATTTTAGAGCATTGAGTAAGATGTCTTAAACCCTTGAGTACGATGCCAATTACTTTGAGTACATTGAATTAACCCATTACATAGGAAACATTGACCCCTTGAGTACAGTAAGTTAATCCCCCAAAGTACGATGTCTTAACCCTTTGAATACGATAACCTAATACTCTGAGTACGATCACATTGTACTAAAAAAAAAAAGGGGGGGGTCGAGTCATCGTACTCACAGGAGGGTTTAACAGTTCAACAACGAGGTACCTCACCATCACCACAAAGGTCGACCTCTGCCCCCCCCCCCACACACACACACTCGTTAACGCACTACATATTACCATCTCCAGACAACTTCCACCACAAACTCACCTCCACACCCCCCCACACAGACCCAATGACAGACACACACACACACACACACACACACACACCACCTTCATCTCTCGCTAGTCTGGACATGGAAAAAATTGCTGGCGGTGTTGGAGTCGTTAAGAGAATGACTTCGAGGTGACAATTGGCAGGTGAGTGAGGGTGATGAGGCGATGGAAATGATCTGATTGGAGGAGGTGTGATGGCTCGCGTCTCCCTGATTGGTTGATGGGTTAGGCTTGGGTGTTGGGATGATGGGTTAAGCTTGGGGGTTGAGTTGATGGGTTAAGCTTGGGGCTACATTGAAGGGTTCAGTTACTCGGTCAGTCAGTCAAGCGATCAACCAGTCAGTCCAGTTAACCAGTCAAGCAGAGAATAGTGAGGAACGTCATTAAGTCATCCATAACAATAACAGTAATGACTTAATGATTATGAATATTTCCTGTTAGATTATCACACGTCATCCTGTCTGTCTGTCTGAAATCTCAAGGTGTGAAAAAGATCAGAAGGAAAAACAAATGAACGGAAAGAGATTTGAAGAAACACTAAAAGAAACTTAAGGAAATTGAAATAGAACTGAAGGCAATTAAAAAAAAGACTCCGGGAACAATGAAAGAAAAATTTAGTGAGAAATACAAGAAAATCAGAAAAAAAACCGAAAGCAAACGTTATAAACAAAAATAAAACGGGAAAATGATGATAAAAACGAAGAAAAATCCAATAAACTAATGAAAAAATAAAAAAATATAGGAAAATGGAGGAACCTCGAAATAAAAGATGGGAAACAGCCGTAAAATGAAAGAAGAGGATAATGATGAACAGTGAGAGACGCCTGATGTGCGAGGTCGTACAGGTGGTTGTGTGTTGTACTTGACTTGACCGAGCGAGTGTTAGGGGAGGGGTAGGGTTGGGTAGGGTAGGGCTGGGTAGGGTGGGTAGGGTAGGGCTGGGGGGGTAGGGCTGGGTAGGGTAGGGCTGGGTAGGGTAGGGCTGGGTAGGGTAGGGTAGGGAAGGGTAGGGTAGGATTGACTTGGGTTAGGGAAAGTTAGATTAGGCTTGGTCAAGTTGTCAGGTTGGGATGAGCCGCATTTAGGGGCTGGTGACATTAGGTTAACATGACATTCTAAAAGAAACGTAAGCACGCACACACACTCGCGCACACACACACACACACACGCACGCACACACACTCGCACGCACACACACACACACACACAAATGACCTCGTGGCTGGGGCAACACTAGCTGCTACTTCAAGAACATGTACTCCAGTGAGATGTAATTACGGACACCTGCGAGCACCTGAGGCAAATGACAAGGCAGGTGTGGTAGTTGTGTATACCCAGGTGTGGTGTAAGACCTTAATAAAACCTTCTACATCTAACTGGCGCCCTCTTCCAGGAATGACCTTAATGGTGTGACAATGTTAATAGTGTCTTGAGTCGACAGTCGCGGGGATTATTATACACCGCCACATAAAATTCCCATCTCTCACACCATATTTACGAGGCTGTCCGTAGGTGAAAAAAAAAACAACTCCACCCAGAACAGATTAACAGCTCAAGATTATTGGCCATACACTTCTTTGGTACACTTGTTTTTTTTTTTTGAACGGCAGGAACACTTGAGTCATCTTACAGACATACCCGGAGCAGACATACTAAACACCAGGTAGGTAACTCCATCCTTCAGAGAGAGACAGAGGTAATCATTTATCACAAGGTCTCTCTCTCTCTCTCTCTCTCTCTCTCTCTCTCTCTCGGTCGGAAATCTCAACCAATGTGTGCAACCTGACGCAGACGCTGACAGCAAAAATAAACCTCCTACTTCGACGCAACACGATCATATACAATGGGTAAAATAAGACGCTTCCTACACATCGTATTTTCCGCATCTGTTATCTTATATTATAGAGTTTGAAGGACATATTTATTATCCCGTCATTTTCCAGAACACTTAAGAGTAGGTGATTAATAATGAAAATAATAGTAAATAAAATGAATAAACAAAATTGAACTGACTTAAACAGACCTCTATAAAATATCCAAGAATAATGACCCTTAAATGAACAAATAAACTAAAAAAAATAACAAAATCTAAGAGCCAAGCGTAAGACCCTTAGGAGAACACATCTCACCTCGTCATTAAGGCACTTGCAGAAGATATCAGCACCCCTGGGGGAGATGAGGCACTGGCACTGAGGCAGGTCACACAGGGATGAGGAGGAGAACCACGCCTCAGTACTACCCACCACCACCACCATCATCATCATCACCACTACCCCACTCGCTGCTGCCACTTGACCTAACATCCTTCGTCAGGGTATCTTAAAACACCCGTAGAGGAAGTATACTTAGTGGGTGCTCTGGTTACTCACATTGGTGTTCCGGGTATGTTTTAATTAACCTGTATAGTGAAAGGCTTATGAGCGGGAATGAAAACTGGAAGAAAAGATTTGGTGTTAGGTACATGACACACACTTCAGATGTTATTGATAAAAACTATTACAATCATTGAAATATTCAGATTAAGAGTGAGTGATTGTGAAATAATAAGTCCCCAATAATAAAAAAATATGTTTAAAATATCACAACAAAACATTAATTAAACTCCTCGTAGAGATACAATTGACGTAAACTATTAACAATCAGTAGAGCATAAACTAACATATACACGTGGTTTCATTCAGGAACAAATATAGTACACTGAATAACAATAAACTTCGGACCATATGACGTGCAGTGCCACAGGTGAGGTGCGACTATATAGCACAGTAAGTGATTAACGGCAGGTAATTGTACACCTTAATATAGCACAGTAAGTGATTTACGGCAGGTAATTGTACACCTTAACATAGCACAGTAAGTGATTTACGGCAGGTAATTGTACACCTTAATATAGCACAGTAAGTGATTCGCGGCAGGTAATTGTACACCTTAACACACCTCAATAAACCCAACACTCATACACTACCAAATAGTTTCGTGATCGTTTCGTTTGTATTTTGTTGATCTTATGACGCCACAATTTCTATATATATTCACAAAAATATAAATATCATATATACATTCAGTTAAAACAAAGATACTAGTTCATATATACAACTCGTAGATAAATTGTGTATATAAATTCACATTTACATATATACAGTAGTGACATGATCTATAAACACATTATCAGTTTCAATAGTGTTCACTCACCAATACTTTGATCGTCAGTGAGACCAGTCCGTGATGACCAAAACATTTCAACACGAAGAACCAAGAGTAAACAAATCCCTTGTATTATAATCACACACACACGAGTCACAACCATCCCTCCACCACACGAGGTCCTCCTGCTGTCTCTCTATGACTTACACTACAGAGGCACACTTACAAATAATTAATATACGCGAGATTCCATTACAATATTAATAATGTAACAGGTGATTACACATAAGAATAAAACTGAAGATTTTACTTGACAAATAATAATCGCGAGAATATTTCATGAAAAAAAATTAACAAATATTAAATACCTATATAATCAACAGGAAATTTAACCTAAGAATAATTATTCTTAGGCTAAATCTTCCAATTGATCAAAATAAATTGGAAGATTTCATACCAGAGTAAATATGGTATACAAATTTCACACGAGAACAAAAGTCGTCCGAATATTCCACACACATGTCGGTCTTCCATAGAAGGTTTTACAGACGACAAAATCAACAAGTGTCATTCACAAACACAAAAAATTTCCCTCAATGATTGACAAAATTAATCCCGGGAGGTCCATGTTAAGCGGCCCCAGCACACCACACTGCACCCCAGCCTGGCGCAACACACCCACAGGTAAGAGAACTAGACGCTCTGGCAGTCACTAGAAGACTGCCTTCCTCACCGTCGTGCTGGTGAAGTCTCCCTGGCGGAGGAAGAGGAGGAGGATAGAGCGGAAGGACGGAAGTGTGTGGGGGGGAGGGGGGGACCAGGGTGAAGGGAGAGTGGAGATAAGGAAGTGGGCGGGTAGATGGGAGAGGGAGGACAAGAGCAAAGGAGGGAGAGAACGAAACGGAAGTAGAAGGAACGAAAGGGAGGGTGGGGGGGGATAAAGAACGAAATGGAAGAGGGAAGAACGAAGTACAGGGAGAAAGAACGAAAGGAAAGAAGGGAGGGATGGAGGGTGGAACGAAGGAAAGAGAGAGAGAGAGTAAGAGAGTGGAGGATGGGGCGGGAAGTAGGAAGGGGAGGGAGGGCCAGGCCAAGTAGCCAATAAGGAGCCACAGGTGGGTGTCAGTGGTCCAGGCAGTGTAGGACGCTCCGCCCATCAACAAGGTCACAATCAAGCCCGAGCACCGCCCTAATGGTCCTTCCAGAGGCTACTTTGTCCACTTGTCAGAGGGCGAACAAAACTTTCTAGTACCATTTATGTCACTCGCGCACACTGCCCAGTTAAACGACAGTGATTAAAAGTTAGGTTAGGTTCATTTGCGTTAAGTGTGTTAGGTTACGTGTCCTCCCAAGTCGTTCATGCTCAGGTCGTGTCCTCCCAAGTCGTCCATGCTCAGGTCGTGTCCTCCCAAGTCGTTCATGCTCAGGTCGTGTTCTCCCAAGTCGTTCATGCTCAGGTCGTGTCCTCCCAAGTCGTTCATGCTCAGGTCGTGTTCTCCCAAGTCGTTCATGCTCAGGTATTGTGATGTTATCCTCTGTCATACACACACACACACTGGTTAACGTTACGATACCGGAGCGTTATGGCGATGTTTGGTGGTAATACTGGTGATTATGGGTGGTAGTGGTGATGATTGTGGTTGTGGGTTGCAGTGGTGATGATGGTTGTGATCGTGGGTGGTAGTGGTGAGGGAGATAGTTATGATTGTGGTTGTAGTGGACGTAATGGTGATAGTTGTTGCGATTGTAGTACCAGTGAGGGCCAAAAATCACACCCTATTTTCCCTATTCTCTCATAACGCTCATTCTCGTTTCTCAAGTTACGAAATAAAACATTAATATTAATTTTAAGTCTATGTTAAGAAAGAAACCAAATTCTGTCCTCTCTCTCTCTCTCTCTCATAAGCCTAAGTTAAAGAATCATTCATAAACAAACTAAAAACAAACAAACCTGATTAAAAAAATTGCTCCAGGTGGTCACAAATATCTCCGGCATCTCGTATGAAAGCCTCAAGTGTATTGGGTCAAATTGGTCGAGTAACCTTTGTTCTAGATCAGTTAAAGGCTCAACTTACACGGTCAGACACAATAAAGTTTAAAGAGTTAATTATCTGGAGTTATTTTAAAAGTTTGAAGGTGATAGTTGGAAGTATGGTATATATTCCGTAATGCAAGTGTGGAGGAGTCAGATACAAAGACAGACAGACAGACAGAGAAACAAGTCCCTCAACGCTGAACAGTAAACTAATAGGTATATTCCACAGTTTAATATACTTCAAAGTTACCCCCCCCCACCCCCACACACACACCAAAAAATAAAAAATAAATAAAAAAATAATATAAAAATCTAAGAAAATCACTGAAAAACTCTCGTACTCTTAAACCAAAAATTATAATAACTCCAATCAAATGACTAGAGACAATCCCAAACACCAACCAGTCAAATTATCCTTACACGAAAAATTAAAATCTATCCACCAACACTGCTCACGGACGGAAAGACAAGAACGAGGAGATAAAAAATAGTGATCAGCTTGGAACACCTCGTAATGAACACCGCTTCCACACATCAACTCCACCCTAGGCTTATCCAAGATCGAACCACTGCCCCATGCATGACGAAACCCAGCCACTTGACCTCTGTACCACGATGCCCCCCGGAGATAGGCGAGAGAACTGCGTGTTAAATTGGTGGTGAGTGTGATAGAGACCCGCTGACACCTCTCATGATTTACCCGCGTGATGCTGAGGGGGAGGAGATGGAATTAAGGAAAGAGGGAGGGAGGAAGGAAGAAAGAAAGTGGGAGAAGGGAGGGAGACAGGAAGGAAGGAGGGAGAAGACGGAGGAGGGATGAAAGAAGAAGGGAAGAAGAAAGAAGGAAGGAAGGAAAGACGGATAAGGAGAGAGTAACGAAGGAAGGAGACATCAAGAGAGGTAGGTAGGTAATAATCCTCCATGAGCTGCTCCCCTTCCCCTGAGCCCGATGGAAATGTCCTGGTGTCACTAAAATTTTGTCTCTGCTGAAATTGTTTTTTTTTTTATTCACCACTGACAGCTGCTATTGGTTGGTACTGATGTTGTTATTATTGCTGCTAACTTTTGCTTCTCTTTCTCCTCCTCTCTCAATCACCACCTTCCCTCTATCTCGACTAGTCTCCGTCCTACCTTACAATCACCATCCATTCCTCCCCCTACATAAACATAACACATCCTCTTTAACAACTTGAGGGTGAAGTCACGCCCCCCCCCCACGTCACCCCGCCCCCCCAACCGACAGTAACCCCCATTATCACCGCCCATATCATTACCCACATTACCTATAATCGCCCCAGATTATAGTCATTTGCGGGAGTGTGTTATGTCATTAGCTGTATTATCGCCCGGAGACGCAGAAGAGGAGATGCTATTGTAAGGGATGTAGGGGGGGGGGGCGGGAGGGAGGAAGGGGTGAGTTAGGATCTATAGGGAGGGGGGAGGGGGGGTGCAGGATGTGAGGTAGTAATTGAGCAGAGACGATGATGTAGTGTCACGGTTGATGTGGGGTGGGGCAAGGTGAGGTAGGGTAGGAAACGGTGGAGCAACAATGTGTAGGGTGAGGTTAGGGCAAGGCAGGGTAGATATAGGGCAAGGAATGACGAGGTCGGTTAGGGTGTTAAGGCCCGTCTACACGATCGAGCAGTGCCCGGCGGGCAAGCGCTAAATGCCCGTTATCAGGCAAAATTGGCGGGCAAACCAGCGGAGTGCCCGTCGTCAGCGAAATCATGGTCCGCCTGCCTGGTGGTTTGCTGCCGGATATGGAGCGACGACTTTAAGTAGTGCAAATGTGATACGTATATGTTCCCCGCTCGGTCCAGATGTCCAGTGTATAACCAAATAAGCTTATGCAATGAACATTATTGGCGTGACAATAAACGGGAGATTGTTTATGTATTATGTAATGAGGACATTCGTGTGTTCTTCGTTCCTGCCGCTCTCCTCACTCTAGTCCCATAGCTTCCTGTCTATGCATATCATAATTCTAACATTATTCAATGAATTTTTATGTACTACAAATCTCACCTGCAAGTAATCTTCCTTGAGTACTTCATACATGGCTTGACAAGTTGCAGGTATTATGCGAGACAAACTTTGTTTTGATATCCTCGTTCTATACTGAAGTGACGTGTAGGTGCACCCAGTTGAAAGATATATGAGCACTGACTCTAGACGAGCCTCTGCAGATATACTCTCCCTCATAATGGTATCCTGTTTTTTTTTATATATGGTTCCATTTTCCCTAGAAGTTTGTCAAAGGTGTTGGGTCCATTCTCATGTAATTGGTGAAGTCTTGTTCATGTCCATCTTGCAGTTCACGTAAAATCGTGGCATGACTTCACAATACTTTTCTTCGACCTAACCACTCTTTGCACCATTCCCTTTTCTGCATTTGGTTCTTCTTTTTGCACATAGCAGCAATTATTATAGTACACAACGCTATGCTCTTCGCTTTAACTGTCCGGCGATTATTCCTGCGACACACCATGGTGATCGTACCGCACCCGCCACTGTCGACCACCTACTAGCTACCGGCGCCAGACTATGACTGCCGTCAACCACCCCCGTGTGTACGACAACACACAGGCTTTGCCCGGTAAACGGGCAAAGCCCGCCTGGCACTGCTCGATCGTGTGGACGGGGCTTTACAGGGCAAGGGTGAGGTTAGGTTAGGTTATGAATTTATGGACTGCCTCACCATAATACGCCAACACGATCACCATATTCACTATCATCACCACTTCCACCAATCACCACAACCTTGCCATCAAACCATAACTAATATTCTCTTAGCACAAAGCCAGTAGACACACTAGTACTCAAACTGATAATAATCGACCATGTAAACAAAAATGGCTGTCTTCATAATACTTTTTACCATATGTCGGCCGTGACGAGCGGCACTGGCGCGGGCCTCCGCCACCCTGTTAGGTGTGGGCGGCACAACATGGTGCTCGACGGTGGGCTTCATCTGTTTACCACCAACCGCCACACACGGGCCCACAAACGTTCGATGCTTCATACTATATTAGACGACCCTATGCGGGTCTCTTTGGGGCTCATGGCCACAATTTTCATTCCCCAGTCCATCATGCGCAGTTTTTCCTCTGCCAAATTCAACAACTCCCGTGTTGAGGAAACAGTGTTGGTGATGCTGGAGATGACAATTGTCGAAATTTGCTTGCCATATTTTTGTCGTAGACGGACAATCAATCGTTCAACTCTTGATGTGATGCGCCGGGATTTCTCTACACGCTGAAAGACTGGGTATTTAGCAGCTAATAATAGCCCCCGCGAGAACAAACCCTGGTTTAGGTCGCGCGCCACTTGGGCGGACGTCATTTCCAGGATTTTCTCCTTCATATACTAGTGTTGTAGTGAACATGTAGTACTAGTGTTGTAGTGAAAATGTGGTACTATTGTAACAGTGAACATGTAGTACTTGTGTTAGTGAACATGTAGTACTAGTGTTATAGTGAACATGTAGTACTAATGTTATAGTGAACATGTGGTACTAGTGTTGTAGTGAACATGTAGTACTAGTGTTGTAGTGAACATGTAGTACTAGTGTTGTAGTGAACATGTAGTACTAGTGTTGTAGTGAACATGTAGTACTAGTGTTGTAGTGAACATGTAGTACTAGTGTTGTAGTGAACAAGTAGTACTAGTGTTGTAGTGAACATGTAGTACTAGTGTTGTAGTGAA